GGGGCATGGAGGACCCCTATACATTTAATATTTCGCAATATATAAGACACGCTTTATAGCTGCCAGAGGAGGCGAGAGAAACAGAGGGGGGAAAAAACAATAATAAGTGGAGTGACAGTGAGCCAAAGCGCAGGATTGTTGCGGATTTTCCACCGCTTTTATAACAATTAACCGCACAGAGCGCAGCCGGACAAGTGCGCGTTCAGCACAGATAATAAGGCAACACAAAAAAATAAAGTCAACCAGAGAGGACGAATTCCTCCCACTGCATGCACCAATTTAATGCAGCAAATCCGCAGCAGCCAAATATATATATATATATAAAAAAGCTCAATGATTCCTCCTTACCTCTCCATGATGAGCCGCTGCGCGTCCCTGGGGAGTATCCTCGGGTAGGAAATAAAGTTTGGAGCTGGATAAAAGTTGCCTGCTCGTCCTCTCCTCCCAGAGCAGCTGGAGCTCCGCTATGCACACGGGGTCCTCAGGTTTGCATCGGACGAAGAAAAAGTCACCGAGAGCCAGGATCCTGGGCTTAGCGCCCTGGTGAAATTTAAAGGCTTTATAGAAGATATATGGTCCGTGTAAGCCGCAAGACGAGCCCACCCACTGTTACAGAAGGGACACGAGTTAATGTCAGCTCAAAGCACAAAACACAACAGTTTCAGAATCAAAACACAACACGTTAGGATTTCTCTTCAAATTTCGGCGCATAAATCTTTACGTTTTGGGGTGTCCGACAACATAAATGAGGAAATCGTCAAAGTTTACCCGGTTCGGCAGCTGTTTACAGACAAGCAGCAGAGCTAAAAAACAAATGTTGTTATGAAAACAAACGTTACCTTCGGTGAGTTCGGCTCCATCTCGACGTTATGAATTGATTAAACTCAACACGAGCTCCAAACTTGCTGGCTTGAATGGATTGCCGAAGGTCCTTAAAGTAGCGTATCTCTTAAGAGTTTAAAACACGCTGTTTTGACTTTAAAGKGAGGCGTAAAAATTGTGTTTTTTTCACGAGGAAAATGCAAACAACTGCTTGTTAGAAAATATAAAACAAAATCCTTAAAAATAAAACGTTTGCGATTTTTTTGGTGCGTCTTTTCTCATWCAAAGCGCTATATTTACGCAGATATATTTTAAAATACCTTATAAATATTAAATAATTTTAATTATTAATAACCTTTAGTGGTATATGAAATCATATTTAATGTTTTAAGGTGGATACCTTCCGGTTTAAGCGCAAAATGAGCAATTTTCTGTGGTTTTGGAGCGTTTGTGGCCACGCGACTTCCAGGACCTGCGTAAAAGACGTTCAATATGAAAGCACATTTCTCACAGTAATGACACCGAGGCGCTGCGCTGTGGATGCCTGCAAGAAACAATGTTACATGGAAGTTAATAGGGCCATCAAACGATTCCTCAAAAGGAAACATGGAAGTGCTTTGCTTTGACTGGAACTCAGTTGTGGCTGTGGGGTTTTAAAAATATAACTATGCGCCTCTGCAGCTTAATGTTAATGTTTGTTTATTTATTTGTCATTGCCGATAAAATATAAGTCGGGGGCGAGACTAGACAAAACCACGAGGCGGTGGTACAATAGATGAATCATTTTTAAAGCTGACCTTGTGAAAGCAGCTCGATTTGCCTCTAAATATAATAATGAATATTTATTATATTAAACTGCCGGATCGTTCAGTTATATGCAAAGCTGATATTTGCATGTGGAGGGGGGAGAAAAATCATTTTTGGCCGAGTTACTCAAACTTCACGGTTTCTGTTGACACCTATTGTTCTCCGCTGGCTGCATTTTTATGGCACAGGCTGCCATTATTCATGTTTGTTTTTAACATTGTCCACAAGGCGGCGCTGTTTCCCCACTTTTTGCAGCCTTTGCCCTGCATTTATCCACTTCTCAGATCACACAAAGCAGGCCTACTTCTGACACAAGCTATTTCAAGTGCACTGTTACGCAATGCGCCTTTTTTACTGTCCTGAAATAAGGGGGCAGCGCATATACATAGATATACATTGATTTGCTGTATTTTCTGCTCTTCAAACTGACTTGTTTTCCCCTTCCTGTGAAGGAAATGTCAGATAATTATCTTGAGAGGCAGATGAGTCAGGTCTAAATGTAGRTAATTATAGCTCATCTTTCATCCATTCAAATGTTGCATTATGTATTAATGCAAAAATGAAGGTAATGTGCTGTGACACTTTGATATTTTAAGTATCAGTTCGGAGAATTGGGCCAGGCTGGACTGCACAGAGGCTCATTGTTTTTGGACAAAGCTGCAGAGCAGTGTTCCTGCAGTGAATCCAATAGAAAAACCGCAGCTCCCTGTGTTATCTCTCCTGATTTCTCTCACAGTCGTTTCAGCGGCTGAATCAATGGGGTTGCATTGTTAATGCTAGCCAACATAATAATGAAGTCGCTGGTTAATCAATGGCACCACTCCAGCTCTTATCTTGCAATTGTGAGTGTTTGCTTGTCAACAGGTAGGAAGCCCAGCGAGAGAGCAAAATTAAGATGCAGGTATCGACGCAGGTTYGGCCTCATGTGGAGAGATCGAAATTGAAAAAGGAATGATGAGCGTGTGCTGAGAGGGAGGCTGGTATTCAACTAATATGATAACATGGCTGCATCATAGAGGAGACATATTAGCTTTTTTCACTAACAAGTGTTTTTTTTATTGAAGTGAATCTGACAAATCAAAATTAACAAAACATTTAGTTAGTTGACCTGTATTAGATCAAAACTGCTGTTTCATAATCAGTCACTTTCTTGGAGGAATGGATCTTATCCAACACTTTTCATGACGTCTTATGATGATTGTGGTGATGAAAAGGTCAATTAGGTGCACTCTAAATGTTAATGTTTCAGATGCCCACCCAATAATTACTTTCTGAGACTTTCATTAAAATTAGTGCGATAGGTTTTAGGATAAATTGGGAGCACTACTTACACAAATACCTTTGAGGATGATATCAAAAAAAGAGCAGCAATTTACAATAATAATCACATTTAAATTTAAGTAAATACACATTTTTTATTTTTAGTTAGTTAGTTAGTTAGTTAGTTAGTTAGTTAGTTAGTTAGTTAGTTAGTTAGTTAGTTAGTTAGTTAGTTAGTTAGTTAGTTAG